TTCTCATTACCACAGAGCAGAGGTGAGCAAACTCTGTCCTGCCGGCCAAATGTGGCTGTTGGGACCCCAAAGTGCAACTCCTGAAGCTTCTCAGGAGCTCCTCAAAGACTCCAGATCTCCCTTCAAAATTCATTTTATAGGTTGATTTTCTGGCATTTTTTTTTTCACCCTCAAAGTAGACAAAAGCACCCAAGCCAGATGAAAATGTGCTTGTTTGTGCTACCCTTCCCCAGAGCCCTTCATCTTGCCTATAAAACCCACAATGCAAAACTCAGGTCAAAATTCTGTCAAAACATCATTTCTGGTTTTGCAGAAAAAATGATACTACAACCCACATCTTCTTCAGTTGCCTACCCTTTGGAATAGAACAAGGTTGGGTACACTGTAGTGACCAAAGATCATCCCTGCCTCATTTTCTGATCCTTTGGAGCTCACTCCAGAAACAGTTTGTGGTTTTATGCATAAGCCTTGTTTTATCATTCCTGCTTTCAGCACCACCTTGAACCATCCACTGCTTCCTCTCCTACTGGGAAGGTTCATAAACATCCAGCCTGGAATTACTAGCTACTAGATCTTATGTCCAACCTTTCATGGTGGTGACAGCACAGAACAAAGTCAGATAGAGGAAGAGCTGGAGAGAACCTTTGGGGTCTGTTGCAGACCTCGGGTATATCCACACTGCCTAATTAAAGCAGTTTGATACCACTTTAATTGCCATGATTCTATCCTATAGAATCCTAGGATTTGTAGTTTGATGAGGCACCAGGGCACTCTAACAGACCAGGCCAAATACCTCACCAAACTACAAATCCCTACAAATATTCTACAGGATAGAGTCATGGAAGTTAAAGTGGTGTCAAACTGCTTTAATTCTGCAGCGTGGCTACACCCCTAGAAGCAAATGCCACCTAAATATTAGGAAGAACTTCTTTACTGTGGACTATGCTATTGAATGTGGCCAGCACAAATGGGTCAGAATTCAGATTGTTTAGGAAGAACTTATTCAAATCTAGGGATGTAGCTAAAGGGGAGAGAAAGTAAGGCATTGCCTCCCCCATAGGTTTTCTTGCCTCTCCCCTGAAAATTTCCTTCCCAAATTTCTAGCATTACCAAGAGTGAGACAATGAAGAGAACTCAAAGCTAGAACTTTGATAATTGTTGCATTCACATTGTCTTGGTCTCTTTCCAACCACTTCTCAGTGGATGCCTAAATTGTATTTGTAAATGCTTGACTGCAATTTCAACTTATTGCTGTGCTAGAAATGTGGGGACTATCATTTGGGGAGGAAGAATTCTTAGTTGGTGGACAATACCATCAATTTGCCTCTCTGGTGGCACTTTATGCTTCTTCACAAATGGGAGGGTTTTTATTTTTTTTATTTTTCAATGAATGTTACATCCTGCCAGATTTATAAGAAACAGAGTCTTGTCCACTCCATTTTTAGCACAAAGATGACATTATTGCTAACACCCTTTGAATTGACCCCATGTTATGGTGACCCTGTGGATGAGACATCTCCAAGACCCCCTGTTCTTAACCACTCTGATCAGCTCCTTCCTGCAGGTTCAGTCCCATGACCTCCCAGATTCATTTGGCATGCAGTCTTCCTCTCTTTCTACCACCTCCTACCTTTCCAAGCATTATCATGTTTTCTAGTGAGTCATGCCTTCTCATGATGTGGCCAAAGTACAACAGCCTCAACTTAGTCGTCTTGACTTCCAGGGAGATTTCAGGCTTGATCTGTCCTAGGACCCATCTGTTTTTAGCTGCCCATGGTATTCCCAGCAGCCTTCTCCAGCACTACATCTCAAATGAGTTTATTTTCTTTCTATCCACTGTTTCCACTATCCAGCTTTCACATCCGTACATGGTAGTGGAAAATGCAATGGCTTGGAGAATTGAGTGTTCAGTGGTATACGTGTGAATAAACAAATGTTCTTCCTGGTTCCATCACATCTATTAGTGCAATGAATCCAAAAATAAGAAGCCAGTATAGGAATCCATTTAGCAAAAAGCTCTAATCCCACTTTTCAATCCTCATGTAATAAAATCCATGCTGATGAACTAGACCAAGTTCAAAGATATGAACTAACTCTCACTTTCATTGCCTGGTATGATGTCAATTCCCCTGTCTCACATGCTTTAATCCTTCAACTGTGATTGAAGGACTGGACTGAGAGTTAGAGTGGATGGAGGAAATAATTGAGTGAAGCTTTTACTATAAGACAAGATGTTCTGTTCCATAAAGCATGCCTGACAAGAGTACAACCTCTCTCTTTAATAGCCCTGCAAGAAGAGATACCAGAAACATCTGCAGCCATCCTCCTGAGCTGCCCCTAGAAACCAGGTTCTCATATAAAAATTAACTGGCTGAAATTTCTATTTAAACCAAAGGTGAGGAACCTGTGTCTTTCCAGAGGATGTTAGACTGCAACGCCTCTGATCCCTCTTCATTTGCTGTACTGGCTGGGGCTGTGTTGTAGCCCAGCATTATTTTGAGGTCAGTTCTTGCCGGGAGGAGAGAAGCGGACAGTGTATAGATACAGGAAAGTCGGTTGGCGTTAAACCTAGTACCACACTATTGACTGTTGAACACTGGAAGATTACTGGACTGTTGGAAGATTATTGTTGTAGAACGTTGTTAATACTGGAATATATATTCAAAATTTGGTAAAGACTGGTATACTCCAGCAATATTCCAGTAATATTGAAGACGGAGAAGGGGGATACCTGTTGGACATTAGTGTTGACTCTATGTAGACTGTGGAAAGTTACCACGTTTGAGTTATGATAATGTCACTTATGAAAAGAGACTATAAAAGTTTGACTGTTTAAAATACAATAACGGAGAAAAAAGCAATCACTGTGCAATTAAGTGATAATGTAACAAACTGTTAATACATTGTATGTTTGGTAATCTTGAATTTGAAAGACTGAAAGAGATATGACTTATAGATTTTCAAAATATTTTATGATATTGGCTATGAGTAAGATAGTTAATAAATGAATAAATAGATTGTTAAGTGGGTTATCTCACAAGAATAGGAAAGGAGGTTAAAATAGTTTCATTTGCACCTGTATTATTTACATGGTAAGACATTTCTTGTGACTGTGTATAATATTTGTGTTAATTTTGTATAAATCTTGAAACATAGAAGTTTAAGATCTAATTTCGGGAGTTTAAAATAATTAAAAATCCAAGATAAAAGAAGGATAATATCTAAGTTCTGAAGACTCTAAAGCAGTAGATGGCTACGATAAAACTGATGGAGTTATTTATATTAATATTGAACTTCTCTCTGTCCCAATCACCCAGAAACAATTAAAGAATCATTCTTAACAACTGAAACAAGCTTTTGCAACTGAGAATGGAGAAATTAAGCCATTTCTGGATCTTTGCCATCTTCATATGAATTTACTGATAAGGCTTTCCTTTCTCATTTCCACAGTATTTTCTGGATCAGTGCAGTCAGTCATCACTCTACATTTGTGGGTTAAGCATTTGTGGATTTGATTATTTGTAGATTACTGTATTTTCCCCTGCCACTGAAAATATATGGTCTTTCTGAGCATCTGTAGGTTCTCCAGCATGATATTTGCTGGATGTTGACCATAGAGCAGGGGTAGGCAGCCTGTCCCCTTTAAGGGCCGAGGGACTTCAGCTCCCAGAAGCCTCAGCCATGTTGGCCAATAGTCCCATGTTGACCAATAGCTCCTGGGATTCTGGGAGCTGAAGTCCCTCGGCCCTTAAAGGGTACAGGTTGCCTACCCCTGCCATAGAGTCATGCTGGAGGATCTATGGATGCTGAGCTAGAAGGCTGTGGGTCCTCCAATGGGATTCTATGGTCACCCTCCACTGGAAGCTGACCATAGAGTTGTTCTGGAAGACCTACAGAAACCTAGAAAAGTGTTCTCTCAGGTTCAAAAAAATAGCAAGATTATATCTGTGGGGTTTCCACTTTTGCAGGAGGGCTTGCAATCCTAACTCAAGCTGAGGGCTGCGTGCACTTCTGGTATTTGAAATTAATGCCTGCCATCCTTAGTGACAGATGTAGGCTTAAGTCCAACTTACTCCTGTGTGATTCAGAGTTTGGCTGCAGATGTTGGAATGCCCTACCGAGTACAATATGACTAAATGTCCCCATCTCTCACCCCACAAAGAAACCCACCTTTTAATCTGCTTCAGCCCATCCTCAACACAGCCACGCACCTGCTGGTGGAGAGTGTGGGAGAAGATGAGAGGTGGAGCAGCATCCAGCTCTGTTCCTGTAACTCAGTGGTTTCCAAACTTTGGTCCTCCAGATGGTTTGGACTTCAGCTCCCAGAATTCCTGACTGTGGATCAAGCTGGTTGGGGCTTCTGGGAAATGAAGTTCAAAACACCCAAAGGACCAAAGTTTGGGATCCACTTCTGTAGCTGAATGCACAACCATGACATCTTCTGGGACTCCAGGAACTGCTGGAGGATGTCAGATTTTGTGAGTCTAGCTACAGGAGTATAACTGGGTCACGCTTTGCTCCCCACCTCCTGCTCTCTATCAACTAGTAAATGGCTATGTTGGGGTGGTCCAGGAGTTAAAATGAAGGGGAGTCGTATCATAGATCCTTCCAGCTGTTCAGAACTTAATGATTCCTCTCCATATCTAAGATCCCCATAAATTGTCACAAATATTCACTTCTGAATATGAATTCAAATATTTGCATTCAAACATCCATTTCTAAAACAATTATTTCTCAAAACATTGATTTTTCTTACAGCCTTTCCTCTTAAATATATGCCTGCCTCTATCTATCTCTTAAACTTGTTGTTTGTTGTCATATGCCTCCAAGTTGACTCCAGCTTATGGCCACCTCCTTCTAAAGCTTTATTGGCAAGATTTGT